GAACATGTGCTGATCGACCGGTGGGTCAACCGGCCGGACATCCGGCTGGTTGACCGGTCATCCGGCTGGTTGACCGGTTGGCCCATCCCCAACGTTATATCACAGTGAAATGGTGAAATCTCGCGCTTGTCCTCAGTTTGATGAAAGTTTTGTTCCGTTCTCAATTTGACATCAATTTGGTGAAACCATTGCAGAGGGAAAATGTGACTTTTTTCATCAAATTTGAATTTGATGCTTAATCTGATGCACCGAATATTTTTATAAAATAGAGTTTGAATTTATTTTTATAAAATATTTTAAGATTTTAAAAATATGGTGACAAAATGCAATAAAAAAATCGTAACATGTTTAAATATTAAAATATTTAAAATCTTAACAAAATTAAAATATTTTTACAATATTTAAATATTTAAAATATTAATTTAAATTGAGTTTTGAATTATGTGTTTGGTTATGAGTTTTGAAAAGTAATGGGTGAAAGTATAATTTGAGAAACTTATCAAACGAAGCCTAATTTTTTACCAACTTCTCAATACAAGACCTTGTTACCCCAAACAGCCCTCCATCTGCTGCAAAAGACGCCCCTCCCTCTCTATCTCTCATCACCTACTGCCACTTTTCTTCCATCTTTATCTCACATACAAACAACTTGCCCTTTCCATCATCTGAATTTTGAAATGAAACTGGACTGAACATTCAATCAATGGGTTCAACTCATTGTAACTCGTAATTCCATAGCATCCATGTATTGATGACTAACGGCCGGGCATACACGATATGTATAAATTCATTTGGAGTTATAATACAAAATTTACATTTTTTTTCTTCTCATAATGCATATATAAATCATATGTATAACTATATCCAATATAACATTTAATATTAATTTATTTGATAAATTAAGTAGATGTACATTAAAATATGCACAAATGTTTAAAAAAATGTACAATATTTACTAATTTTAACTAAAAAATTGTACAACAAAAATTCATATAAAATCTTAATTTGGTAACATGAGACCTGCAAATCCTATAAAAAATATATAAGATACATGTAAAAATTAGTTTGCTAACAATGCATATTGATTAAATTAAAATTTTACGTTCTTATAAGTTATAATGCATACTATTTTAAGTATTAATCTCATTTTGTGAAGAATTAAATAAAATTACAAGTGAAAGAGATTACCTAGTAATGATGAGCCAGAGCGTGTGCCACTTGAGATAAAATTTAAAATCAAACTGAACATAAATTTTTCAAACATTCGATTATATATAAAAAAAAAAAGACTAAAAATACTTACATTCAAAAGGGAAGCAAAAAAAAAGTACTAATAAAACATGACTGTAGAAGTTATTTGTTTTGACCATTACAAACTCATTAAGTAAACATATAAATAAAAAAAAATTACATAGTTGATTTTTTCAAGCATAGAAAAAGAAATTATATATTTGTTTAATCAGCCAAACCAACAATTTTTTCGAAAACATAGATTATAAACACATAAACACAAAAATAAGAACATTGATTTTTTTAAAACACACACAAATTAAGTAAACAAACAAACCAAATTTTAAAAAACTGAATTTATACACACAAAAAAAAAAAAGCTTAAAAAAGTTAGACAGGGAAAAATTCCAAATTTTTTAAGTCTAAGTCTAAGTCTAAATCTAAAAAATTGCATAATTTTTTGCTTCGCAATTTAAAAAAAAAAGAATATAAAAATATGGAAGCACAATTTTTTTTTTTAAAAAAAAGAAAAATCCAAAATACATAAAACATTGAATTTGAAACACACACACCGAAGTAAACAAATATACCAAAATTTTTTAAAAAACAAACAAAAGCTTAAAAAAGTGAAACCAAAAAATCCCCAATCCATTTAAGTCAAGTCTAAAGTCTAAATAATTGCACACATTTTATACTTTGCAATTTTTTTAAAAAATAAGTTGAATATAGAAACACACAAAATAGAAAAGTATAAACCCATGACACTCTGCGCCTTCAAAGTCAAAAAGATTTTATTGAAAACATACAAAAAATAAATAAATAATTAAACACACCCGTACAAAATTAATCAACCAAACAAACCAATTCACTGTTTTTTTTTTTTTTAAAAAAAAAAAACATACACACACACACAAAATTAAACAAACAAAAACTAATAAGCCAAACCAACCATTTTTTTGAAAACATAAATTATAAACACACAAAAACAAAAATAAGAACACTGATTTTTCTAAAAAACACACACACACACACACAAATTAAGTAAACAAACAAACCAAATTTAAAAAATTTGAATTTATACACAAAAAAAAAAAAGGTTAAAAAAGTTAAACAGGCAAAAATTTCAAACTTATTAAGTTTAAGTCTTAAGTCTAAAAAATTGCATACATTTTCTGCTTCGCAATTTTTTTTAAAAAATGAATATAAAAATACAGAAGCACACAAATTCTTTTTTAAAAAATACAAATCCAAAACACATAAAACATAAAATTTGAAACACACACACACACCGAAGTAAACAAACAAAAGCTTAAAAAAGTGAAACAGAAAAAATCCCAATTTATTTAAGTCAAGTCTAGCCTAAATAATTGCACACATTTTATACTTTGCAATTTTTTTAAAAAAAGAGTTGAATATTTAAAAATATAGAAACACACAAAATAGAAAAGTATAAACCCTAACACTTTGCACCCTCATAGTCAAAGAGATTTTATTGAAAACATACAAAAAACAAAAAAAAAAAATTTAAAACACCCATACAAAATTAATCAACCAAACAAACCAATTAAGAACACTGATTTTTTTTTTAATAAAAAAAATACACATACAAAATTAAACAAACAAACCAACTTACTTTTAAAAAACTAAATTTATACACAAAAACAAACAAAAGTTTAACAAAGAGAATGAAAATTATAATGAATCGTATAATACAAAACACTTAGAGATAAAGAGATTTGTTATACACTTACAATAATTTTTATTTTTTAACACACACACAAATTAAGTAAACAAACAAACCAAATTTAAAAAATTTGAATTTATACACAAAAAAAAAAAAGGTTAAAAAAGTTAAACAGGCAAAAATTTCAAACTTATTAAGTTTAAGTCTAAGTCTAAAAAATTGCATACATTTTCTGCTTCGCGATTTTTTTTAAAAAATGAATATAAAAATACAGAAGCACGCAAATTCTTTTTTAAAAAATACAAATCCAAAACACATAAAACATAAAATTTGAAACACACACACACTGAAGTAAACAAACAAAAGCTTAAAAAAGTGAAACAGAAAAAATCCCAATTTATTTAAGTCAAGTCTAGCCTAAATAATTGCACACATTTTATACTTTGCAATTTTTTTTTAAAAAAGAGTTGAATATTTAAAAATATAGAAACACACAAAATAGAAAAGTATAAACCCTAACACTTTGCACCCTCATAGTCAAAGAGATTTTATTGAAAACATACAAAAAACAAAAAAAAAAAATTTAAAACACCCATACAAAATTAATCAACCAAACAAACCAATTAAGAATACTGATTTTTTTTTAATAAAAAAAATACACATACAAAATTAAACAAACAAACCAACTTACTTTTAAAAAACTAAATTTATACACAAAAACAAACAAAAGTTTAACAAAGAGAATGAAAATTATAATGAATCGTATAATACAAAACACTTAGAGATAAAGAGATTTGTTATACACTTACAATAATTTTTATTTTTTATTTTTTTATGAACACTAATTATTTTTTATGCTGTGTTTCCCCCCCCCCAAAAAGAACCTGAACACTATTAAGGCCTCGTTTGGCAAGTGTCCATTTTAGTCAAAAAGTTACTAAAAAAATCAAAAAACCAATAACCCATATCAAAAAGTAAAAGATTATTTTTTCTCTCTACTTTTTGCACATTTTTTTGTAAAAAGCTAAAAAGTCATCCCAAACATACTAATTTTTTTTACATCACATTTTAGTCAAAAAATTAAAAAGTTACTAAAAAAACATGTTCTCAAACGAGGACTAAGAGAACAAATATATAAATCAAATCAAATTTTACGAATACTAATTATTTTTTATAGTGTGTTTTTTTCTCAAAAAAAATTGATTTTAATTGAACTTTTTAATGAGTAAAATAAAAATTATAAGTAACAATATTATACTTGCATTTTAAGATGAGTAGTGCATATATGCTTTGGACAATCACTCTACCAACTTGTAATAGGCCCCTATGATTGCAATGTACTTGATTAGTGTTTCTCCTCCTAATAGAAAAAGAAAAAATGTTCTTTCAATAAATGAAAACGAAAAAGTTTGAAAGAGAAAGAAAAAGTTTTTAGCAAACATAAAAATTGAGTTGTAGAAAGAAGTCCACGATGGTGAAACCTTTGTGAAAAGTGGGAAGTTAGTCAATGTGGAAAGTTATGGACAGTTATGCTGTTGTTATATTTTGTGAGTTTGTAATTTATGATTTTATTCTTAATTATAAATTGATATAATTTTAAAAATAGTATAATTATTGAAGAAGTTAAGATTATTTTAAAAAAATTAATAAAAAAATTATGAGAGTATGGCCTCAGCACTCCATGCTGTTGGTTTTTAATAATAATATAGATGATCATCTGCCGATTGGCTTCTTGTGTTTTGAAACAAATGATTTCATAACTGGTCTCTTTTGGGGTTTGTCTTTTTGTATTAATGTTTTGTTGTTTTCTATTTTTAATTTTCTTGCAAGGTAAAAAAAATTATGGGCAAATAACAATTCAGTGTAAAAATAAATTAGCATCAGAGGTAAATTTTATAAATATTATTAATTTAAATTATAAATTTTTTCATATATTTGTAAATATTTTAACAAAAACCACTGAGTTGTAATTTTCTCAAAAATTAATAATAAAAAGGTAAAATTTTCACAAAAGCCCTAACTTTTGTTTCAAAATCTAAGCCATTTTATTTTCCCGCCCTTTGTATCTATCCTTCCATGTATAATTTCTAATTTATTGCTTGGGATGCGTCCTTCACAAGCTTAACAAAACACCAGACCAGACCGTCCGATCTTTCGGTGCGAGAGACCAAAGATTGGCAATCCGTGTTTTGAAAAGACGATCCTAACAAATTCGAGTCTCTGATTTCGTCAGTGAAAGTCCAATTTTTAGGTTAAACCAGGGGAAAAAAAAATGGGAGTCTCGATGGAAACGACGACCGATGATGAGTTCATGAACACCGATTCGGAGCCAAGATCCAGAACAACTCCGAGGCTATTCATCAGAGAAATGGTGCTCAGGAACTTCAAGTCTTACGCCGGTGAGCAACGCGTTGGCCCCTTTCACAAGGTTAGGGTCTCTCTCTCTCTCTCTCTCTCTCTTAAGGCTAGGGTTTCAATGGAATTTGATGTTTTGTATTGGGGATTGGCAGAGTTTTTCGGCAGTGGTTGGTCCAAATGGTAGCGGGAAGAGCAACGTGATTGATGCTATGTTATTCGTATTTGGAAAGCGAGCTAAGCAGGTAATTACTTTACTTCACTTATTCCATTTCTTTGTGCAAATTATGGTTCTGTTTGGATTCTGAGAAAAAGTGTTGGAAAAGGAAGGAAATCAAAAACGGCTTGAACCTTAGTTTGAAGAAAAAGGATAAAATAAAGAAATTGCAGAAACCATAAAAGCATTTGTTTAAGTATAAAGACTCAAAATCGTATTACTGAATGTTATGTAAAGATGTACACTAGATGCAACAATTTGTGCCATCATATAATTCCACCTGAAATATATTTTAAAAATTGTGCAGATGCGCCTTAACAAAGTGTCGGAGCTTATCCACAATTCAACTAATCACCAGAATCTAGACAGTGCTGGTGTATCAGTTCACTTTCAGGAGATTATTGATTTGGTAACTAAATTTCCCCTTATTTAAGTCTACTATAATATGGTTTCTTGTGAATTCGTAATTTTGTGGTTCTTTAGAGCTAAATTCTTTCATGGGTTATAGGTTGATGGGACATATGAAGCTGTTGAAGGAAGTGACTTCACAATAACACGCGTTGCGTTTCGAGATAACTCTTCCAAGTACTACATTAATGACCGTTTGAGTAACTTTACGGAGGTTACCAAGAAGCTGAAAGGGAAGGGAGTGGACTTGGACAATAATCGTTTTTTGATACTTCAGGTTCAGAATCTGTTAGAAAGTGGTTATAGTTCAATCAACAAGTCTGTTGCTAATGTTTTCTAAATGCATTTGTTGGATGTTTTCAGGGTGAAGTTGAACAGATATCACTGATGAAGCCAAAGGCTCAAGGACCACACGATGAAGGTTTTCTTGAATATCTCGAGGACATAATTGGAACAAACAAATATGTTGAAAAAATTAATGAGTCAAGTAACGAGTGAGTTCTATGCCTCATTTTCAAAGAAAAGTTTTTGCTTTTACATCCATTTTATTCTCTGTCATGCATCATGCATGTCCTTTTAGTCAGTACATACACAGTTCTTGTAGTCAAGGCAAGTGTAATAAACTTTAAATTTGAAGTGAGCATGTAGATGGGTAGTTTACAAGGGAAATTTTGGGTGCAGTGTCTTTAATTATTTAGTTTAAGTGGACAAGTTAAAAGTACGCAGAATTTTTTCTTCTACAATGAGACATTGTGTGGTACAAAATTGAGCTACCGTGATCTACCATGTTCATCTGATTACTTACGCAATTATACCTCTAAATGAATACCCCTTATTAGTTCTTACACATAATTTAGTTTCTGAATATGAGACCTCATCTAGACCCTCTAACCGCAAACGGATGCATGCTTTGTCTCTAACACTTGTGTATGTTCTTATGTTTTGTTTTTGTTCATAGGCTAGAAGCCCTTAATGAGAGAAGGTCTGGGGTGGTGCAAATGGTTAAATTAGCAGAGAAAGAAAGAGATGGCCTGGAGGTACTTTAGACTTACTGTACGGTTGTACATTTTCTTTATTTTACTTTAATCTATTTGTCATTTTATCTCATTTTGTCAGGATGTGAAAAATGAAGCAGAAGCCTTCATGTTGAAGGAGTTGTCTCTGTTGAAATGGCAAGAAAAAGCCGCAAAACTGGCATCTGAAAATACTAGTGCTCAAATGGTGGGAATGCAAGCAAATGTGTCCACCTTGGAAGAAAATCTAAAAATTGAAAGGTAGTTTTGGTCACAACATATATTGTATAGACATGATGACTTCAGATGCATAGTCTATATTTTTGTGAAATTTTTGGCATCTGGTTTCAGGGAGAAGATTAGAGAAAATAATAAGACATTGAAGGAGCTTGAGGCTTTGCACATGAAGTATATGAAAAAACAAGAGGTCTGCAATACATCTATCTACTGCTTTTATGTGAAAATTCTCATAAGGTTATCATTTACACTTACTATACAATTGCACTAACTTCTAAGAGGAAAATTTATTTAACTAATCTTTCTAGTATGACTCAAAATGTCCATATCACATGGAGTGGTGATTTTATTGCCTTATTATTTGTCAAAGTTGGAACAACTTACATGAATTTTGTTTGCAAAACCTAGGAACTTGATAGTGGACTCAGACATTGTAAGGAGGAGTTCAAAGAGTTTGAAAGGCAGGATGTGAAATACAGAGAAGATCTAAAGCACATGAAACAAAGGATTAAGAAACTTGACGATAAAATTGGGAAGGTATGGGTACAAATCAATGTGTTTAGTTTGAATTTTTTGAATTCAGTTTTTTGAAAATTGAGTTTTTTTGTTTTTCGTTTTTTTTGTTTGTAGTAAATATTTTTAAAATTTTAAGGTTGCGTTTGGTTGTGTTTTGTAAATGTGATTTGAGAGTATGAGTTGCATTTTGAGTTTGTGTGTTGTAGAATTATGATTTGAGTGTAGAAAATTTGTTTGGTAAAGAATTTTGAAAATAGTTTTGGAAAAGAGGTTTGATTTGAGTGGGGAATTGTTGATGTGATATTTGATATGTGATACAAAAATTTACAACTCCTAACTAAACATACAACTCAAAATTACTAGTTTTTTTTAGCTCATATTTTAGCCAAATTGCCAAAAAGTTACTAAATTAGTCTGTTCCCAAACGAGGCCTAAATATATAACGTCATGGCTCTCTCAAATGCATGTCAAACGTAACTCAATATGTCGATCTTAGAATCTTTGCACTTTTGTTTAAAATTATCATTTTTTGTTTTGCTTAAAATAAAACTTTTGAAAAAAAGAGATGATATCCACTGGATTTTTTTCATATTATAAAAAAAAGGTATAAATAAAGTGGGCAGAGACAGACAATCAATTGCTGAACCAAAATGAGTCCTAGCATGTCTTGTATCTTGGGTTCCCTTAATAGTTGCTGATATTTTTTTGAGGGAATGAGTCTGATTATGAAGTCAGTCTTCATTCTTATGTCATCACGTGGTCCTCAAAAGGCCTTAATATATAAAAACAAACCATTGCAATTCTTGTTTCTTTTTTCGATGTTGTGTGTTTGTCATGTTAATGAAATGAGGCAGTTATCTTATCTTTGCTTATAAATCTATCTTTGCTTATAAATCTATTTATTTCCTAGAAGGTATATTGATTTTTTAACCAGTATATCTTTTGATGACTATTTTCCCATAACAATCCTCTTCACCATGACTCGTTTTAGTCACTTTTTTGTTTGACTGGGTTCTTGTTGCAGCAAAATATGATGTGGCCATATCAACAGCATGTCCTGGACTTGATTATATTGTTGTGGAAACAACTAGTGCAGCTCAAGCATGTGTGGAGTTACTCCGTAGGAAAAACCTTGGTGTTGCTACTTTACTGGAGGAAGATATTCCTAAACTGCAAAAACTTTTGTTGGAAGAGGAGAAAGTCTTGGAGGAAATTAAAGAGAACTCTAAAGGTGCTGTCCTGTTTTACAAATATTATGCAAACAAGTATTGTGTTTACCTTCCCTGCATTACTTAGGAAATCATATATTTAGATTGCTTACATGTGATTTACTCTCTCAAATTTTTACACCATGTTTTCTCATAATTTCTTTTGGGGGATTCCGAATTATTTTAATGTCATTCCTTGAATAGAAGGTTGGACTTTTAATGCCTAGCACGATGGGATTGGGGTTTTCATTACATTGTTTTTTTGTAATTAAGTGTGGTAAAAGCTTGAGTTGCCAAGCATGGGAAAGTGGATTTGAGTTTGAGAATAATCACGTCATATCCTCCTTGAATCTGTTTTCTTGAGCTTGGTTGTGGCTGTGTGCAAATAATTATTTATTGTTACTCACTTTCCAATTGGTTGACAAACAGTTGAAACTGAGATGTTCCGTGGAGAGCTTGCAAAGGTTCGTGCAGAACTAGAACCTTGGGATAAACAATTAATTGAGCACAAGGGAAAACTTGAAGTTGCATGTACTGAAAGCAAACTTTTGAATGACAAGGTGAGGTTGGAAATCTAAATGGAATTTTTCACTTTAGAAGGTTCAGTTCAGAACTACAAGCACTGTTGTTAGTTTTTCCTCCTTTATTACAAAGGTTCCATGTCTTTTGCTTACTTTGGAATGAAAGTTATTTCGTCAAGGCTCTTCCTCTTGCTCTGCAAATCTAAATGGAGTTGTTCATTCTAATATTTGCGTTTACTGTTTTCAACTTAGTGGTAACTGGTTTTTTTATTTCAAAATGAGATGACAATACAATACTTGTCTGAATGAGATTGTTGACTGTTTCAGCATGAAGGTGGTCGTGCTGCTTATGAGGATGCTCAAAAGCAGATGCATGACATACAGAGGAAAATTGAAACAAAGACTTCAAGCATCAGAAACATTCAGAGTGAACTAGAGAAAAAAAAGCTTGAGGCATTGGAAGCTCGTAAAGTGGAACAGGTGTGTCTTTTGATATTAAATTTTGAATTTTCATATAGAACGAACAATTGAATTTTCTTTTTATTGGAATGATGAGAACAATCGAGTCCGTTGCAGGATTGTCTCAGAGAACAAGAAGCATTAATTCCTCTTGAACAAACTGCGAGGCAAAAGGTCTCAGAGCTTTTGTCTCTCATGGAATCTGAAAGGAGTCAGGGATCTGTATTGAAAGCGATATTGCAAGCAAAAGATACAAATGAGATACAGGGTATTTATGGTCGAATGGGTGACCTAGGTGCCATTGATGGTGAGAGTTTCCTGTAATGGGGCTATTAATTCATATTTGATTGTCTTTCCATGTGATACTAAATACAATGTCATGTCATAAGCTTGTAGTTCATTTCTTGAAGAACACATTTCCTATAAATGGTTGAATACGTGGTTTTGTCAAGGAGGATCTCAATTGATTGTCTTAATTTTAATAATTGAAAGACACTGAGCAGTAAAAGTAATCACCCTGTGAAACCAAAATCTCTGTATTCTTAAGATCTCTAGTTTGCAGTACATACTTCATCAAAGTTATAACTTAGCAAAAGTAAAAAGCTAAATTGACACCACACACCCCAAAAAAAAAAAAAAACAATAGAAGAGAAGAAAAACGAAAATCACTTTCTTTACTGCAAAATTTTGAGTAAATCATGTCATTATATGGGAAGTTTTGCAACAATTTCTTGTGCCATGAGATTGCATAGGTTTGCTTTATTTATTTTGTCTAGGATCAATCTTTTTTAGCAATGGGAAGCACTGTGATTGCTTAACGTCAACTCAGTTATGACACTAGATTTTATGGGATTGAAAGTAACCACTAACTTCAAGCACAAGTTAAAATCTGGAGTTTATTTGGTTTATTATGCAATTTCAAATGAAATCATATTTAGATATACCTGTCTGGTGTAACTTCTTGTAAGCTGAAAATTAAAAATCCGAAAGAAGAAACTAAAATCACCCCCTCCATCAGCTTCCAGTTGTTCTTTCTGCTTATATAAGTTATTTTTACCTTATAAGTTGTAAGTAGATGTTGCATCAAATACTTTGGCATAGACTCTCAACATAAAAATTTATAAGTAGCTCTCTATCAGCTGTACCAAACAGTGAAGTTAAATTAATTTATTTCTGAATTTGTAGGCAACACGTATTGCATATGGTGGAAACAAAGAGTTTCGGCGTGTAGTAACACTTGATGGTGCTTTATTTGAAAAATCTGGAACTATGAGTGGTGGGGGCATGACTCGTTTTAGTCACTTTTTTGTTTGACTGGGTTCTTGTTGCAGCAAAATATGATGTGGCCATATCAACAGCATGTCCTGGACTTGATTATATTGTTGTGGAAACAACTAGTGCAGCTCAAGCATGTGTGGAGTTACTCCGTAGGAAAAACCTTGGTGTTGCTACTTTCATGATTTTGGTATATACCTCATATTGAACTGTGATTCTCAGACCCTGCTCTATATTCTGTGTTAATATCATTTTTGACCAGTTAAATCAATGCTTCAAAACCTCACTGAATTGGTTAAATTGTGATTTGGATGATGCATCAGTTAAGTGGATCTTGGTAAAATCAACTTAAGCTAGTCGGCGTTTGCAAATAGAGCTGTCAAACAGTAATACCTCTTCTTTTTGCCGGCTCTGTTGTTAAGAGTATATTGTCTCCTTTTGTTTTGTTACTTATTTATTTTTAAGTGGAACTTTGAGCTATTACTTTTTATTATTCCAACACTGCCTTGAAGAAACTTTAAGGTTTCAAAGCAAAAGGATTTATTTGGATTGAGACACTTTGATTGTTGAAGATAAGATTATATTGTTAAAGGTATTAGAATGAATATATGGGGACACTTTTCTTTCGTGCTACAAGCATGTAACTATTTTTTATTGTTTTTGTTCTTTTCTATTTATTTACTCTCCCAGACATTGCTATAAGGGGGAGCCCTGTGCACTTGGTATGACATTTAAAAAAATTTGCAACTAAAGCCTCACAGCTATCATATTTATTTAAAATAGTCTCCAAAGCAATCATACGCGGTTTAGAAAGTTGAAAAGCTAAACATTATTAACATTTTGTTGGGTATTCAGAATTAGAAATTGTTTGTACAGAGGCTGTTTCTGCATTCCCCAATATTAACTGAACTTTTGTTAATTTCTCTTGCAGGAGAAACAAGTTGATCATTTGCCTAGAATGAAGGAGAAAGTAAGCACCCCAGAGGGAGTTCCTCGGCTTTTTGATTTGATTAAAGTTCAAGATGAGAGAATGAAACTTGCTTTCTTTGCAGCAGTGGGGAACACTGTCGTAGCTGAAAATATTGATCAGGTAGATTTGGCGTACACACAATTTACTTTGTTTGTTCTTTCATGAAGCAGAATGCACAGTGAGAAAACTGCAATGTCATGTCATAAGCTTGTAGTTTATTTCTTGAAGAACACATTTCCTATAAATGGTTGAATATGTGGTTTTGTCAAGGAGGATCTCAATTGATTGTCTTAATTTTAACAATTGAAAGACACTGAGCAGTAAAAGTAATCACCCTGTGAAACCAAAATCTCTGTATTCTTAGGATCTCTAGTTTGCAGTACATACTTCATCAAAGTTATTACTTAGCAAAAATAAAAAGATAAATCGACACCATACACCCCAAAAAAAAAAAAAAAAAAAAAAAAAACAATAGAAGAGAAGAAAAACTAAAATCACTTTCTTTACTGCAAAATTTTGAGTAAATCATGTCATTATATGGGAAGTTTTGAAACAATTTCTTGTGCCATGAGATTGCATAGGTTTGCTTTATTTATTGTCTAGGATCAATCTTTTTTAGAAATGGGAAGCACTGTGATTGCTTAATGTCATCTCAGTTATGACACTAGATTTTATGAGATTGAAAGTAACCACTAACTTCAAGCACAAATTAAAATCTGGAGTTTATTTGGTTTTATTATGCAATTTCAAAAGCTATCATATTTAGATATACCTGTCCGGTGTAACTTCTTGTAAGCTGAAAATTGAAAATCCGAAAGAAGAAACTAAAATCACCCCCTCCATCAGCTTCCAGTTGTTCTTTCTGCTTATATAAGTTATTTTTACCTTATAAGTTGTAAGTAGATGTTGCATCAAATACTTTGGCATAGACTCCCAACATAAAAATTTATAAGCAGACCTCTATCAGCTGTACCAAACAGTGAAGCTAAATTAATTTATTTCTGAATTTGTAGGCAACACGTATTGCATATGGTGGAAACAAAGAGTTTCGGCGTGTAGTAACACTTGATGGTGCTTTATTTGAAAAATCTGGAACTATGAGTGGTGGGGGAAGTAAGCCACGTGGTGGTAAAATGGGTACAGCTATCCGAGCCACCAGTGTTTCTGCAGAAGCTGTTGCAAATGCTGAGAATGAGCTTTCTGCAATGGTTGGAAAACTGAGCAACATACGTCAAAAAATAGCTGATGCAGTGAGGCAGTACCAGGCCTTGGAAAAGACCATTTCACATTTGGAGATGGAATTAGCCAAAAGCCAGAAAGAGGTAACAACTCAAATATGCAATTTCTCCTTTCCCTTTTGATTTACAGGTCTTGAGTTTTTATTTTCTTATATTTTTACTATGAAACAGATTGACAGTTTGAATACACAACATGTTTATGTTGAAAAACAACTGGATTCTCTGAAGGCTGCATCAGAGCCAAGGAAGGATGAGCTTGATAGGCTAGAGGAACTCAGGAAAATTATATCTGCAGAAGAGAAGGAGATTGACAGGCTTACACAGGGTTCAAAACAGCTGAAGGAGAAGGTGGGCAAGGGTATTATTTTCCATTGTTGGAACCTGGTCATTTTGGTTCAGCACAGTAAATGCTTATTTGCCTCCATTCTTATTGCTTCTCTCTCTCTCTCTCTCTATATATATATATTAAATGAAAGGCTTTGGAGCTTCAGAGTAAAATAGAGAATGCAGGTGGCGAAAGATTGAAAACCCAGAAGTTGAAGGTCAGCAAGATCCAGACTGTAAGTGTATGCATGACTTTAAGGTATGCGGTATCCAATAAATAGATACTTGAATAAATTCATGTCCCTTGCTTGACAGGATATTGACAAGAGCAGCACAGGTATCAATCGCCACAAAGTTCAGATAGAAACAGGTCAAAAGATGTTAAAGAAATTAACGAAGGGAATTCAGGAATCAAAGAAGGAGAAAGAACAACTTATTGCAGAGAAAGAGAAGTTGCTTGCCACTTTCAAAGAAATAGAACAGAAGGCGTTTACTGTTCAAGAGAATTATAAGAAAACCCAGGAGGTTATTTATTTACTCATTTAACTTTTTGCATCTGTTAATGTAGATTAACAGTTTCTGTTGTAACTGGTGCATGCTTTTTGCTTTTTCTTTTTCCTTTGTCTAGCTTATTGATCAACATAAAGATGTGCTGGATAAAGCAAAATCTGACTACGAAGAACTGAAAAAAGCTGTGGACGAATTGCGGGCATCTGAGGTTTCTGCCAATAAATACACCCTCTTTTTGTGGCTTCTTTCTGGTACATCTATGTTGTGAGAGGTGTGATTAATTTATTAGGGATAACACAGGTTGATGCTGACTACAAGTTACAAGATATGAAGAAGGCCTATAAAGAGTTGGACATGAAAGGGAAAGGATACAAGAAAAGGCTCGATGATTTGCATATGGCTTCCTTGAAGCATATGGAACAGTATGCCTCAATCTGTAGGCTGTATTCTACAATTAGCAGGCATTGTGATTTTCAAGCATGCTTAACCCCACTTTATCTTTATTTTTGTCGAATGCAGAATTCAGAAAGATTTAGTGGACCAAGAAAAGCTTCAAGCAACACTGACAGATGAAGCTCTTTCTGGGGCTTGTGACTTAAAGAGGGCCCTTGAAATGGTGGCACTGCTTGAAGCACAACTGAAAGAGATGAACCCAAATCTCGATTCAATCTCAGAGTATGCATTTTTCTCTGTTGATTTATATAATATTCAACTGAAATTATAATTTTATTTTTGCAATTTTCTGTGCTCTGTACTTATGACTACTAGATACCGAAGAAAAGTTTCCTTGTACAATGAACGTGTAGAGGATCTCAACTTGATAACCCAACAGCGCGATGATATAAAGAAACAATATGATGACTGGAGAAAGAAAAGGCAAGTTTATCATGTATTTTTGCCAGTAATTTTCATACAGTTACTCTTCCAATATTTGTTACCTAGTTGGTTATTGTTTTCAGGTTGGATGAGTTCATGGCAGGATTTAACACAATCTCTCTAAAGCTGAAGGAAATGTATCAGGTTCTCTCTCTCTCTCTCTCTAAACTGCTGGTTTCATTTGGTTATGAATTCCTCCCTTTGTGCTTGTCCTCTAGGGTTTTGTTGGATGCCTTATTTGAATGTGTATCTGGATTTTTGGCATTGTTGAAAACTTAGGCTGGTGGTATTGACTATGTTATTTGTAGTTGGTGCTATTGTCATTTATACGAATCTTTAACTTTGCTCTTCCCTTGATGGTGTTCTTCTGGTTCTTTTGAAAATCTTCACATTACTTTGTCCAAATGCAACAGGATGCTGATTTAAATTTTTTTTTGGGTGGATGTTGGGCTAAGAGTTTTCTTGTATATATTCCACAGAAATGCTACTTCTCTTGATCTTGTATACATTCATTTGGAATATGGTTATAGCCATTTATGTTCTTGCTACAGATGATTACTCTTGGAGGTGATGCAGAACTTGAGTTAGTGGACTCATTGGATCCTTTCTCTGAAGGTGTTGTTTTCAGTGTTAGGCCACCTAAAAAGAGCTGGAAGAATATTTCAAACTTATCGGGTGGTGAAAAGGTATTCTCTGAAAAGCATCAATGGCTCCAAATTAGTTAATTTTTTTAAATGAACGTTGTTAGTTATGTTGCCCATCTGTCAAATTCCATGAAATTTATTACGTGTTGGCTTTTTCTTTCAGACACTCAGCTCATTAGCTCTTGTTTTTGCTCTCCACCACTACAAACCTACCCCACTTTATGTTATGGATGAGATTGATGCTGCTCTGGGTATGTTCATCTATTGTAGATTCTTCTGGATTGCTTTTGCTTTGTTTCCTTCTGACTCTATTTTCCTCCGTCTTGTATTGGGTTCACACACGTGGCAGATTTTAAGAATGTTTCTATTGTGGGACATTATGTGAAAGATCGTACAAAGGATGCACAATTTATAATCATCAGGTGCATTGGATGAAATCTTGGTTTATTATTAAATTTCTCTTGTTAGTGTTCTCATGCTGTGTTTTAATTTATGTTACTGCAGCCTTAGGAACAACATGTTTGAGTTGGCAGATCGACTTGTTGGAATCTACAAAACTGATAACTGCACTAAGAGCATTACCATTAACCCAGGCAGTTTTGTGGTTTGTGGAAAAGCTGCGTAAGGAGGGGCATTCACAAACTATTCTGATTTGCATGAAACTTCAGTGCCATGCTATGGTTCTGTTTTCTCTAGGCATTAAAGTCTCATCAATGCCTGGAGCTTGTGAATAAGAATTGCCTATATATTGACCAACATTGTGATATGTATTCCATGTTGTATTTGAATCCTTTTTGGCTAATTATTCTCTGTAAGGATATGATGAATATAATTAACAAAAAATTTAATGCTTGCAAATGTATTAATCTCATTGTTCAACGAGATTAATTTGTTGCATCTGTCTTTTCTTTACTGAGCAGTTATACAGCCAGTCTTTTCTTCACTGAGCAGTTACAGTGATGTTGATTCATTGTGCTTGAGAGCAAATTGGCTGCATACATTGTGTTTCACAATTTATGAATGAACAAGCAATTTATATTGGTTCAAAATTGTCATTATTCATTTTAAGCAAGATTATTACAGAATGGTTTGCAGTTGATTGTAGGGCCTTTTGAACTGCTGTTTTCTTTGTTGGTTCTAATATTATGCCAATTCTGTAAATACTATAACAAGAACTTGTCCTGTTTTTGGTTTTAGTTGTTACTGAAGTTGAATATATAATTGTCCCATCCATTCTCATGTTTTTAATTTTCAAATATTCACAGGTTTTGCTCTTTCTATTTTGAATGTTGGAAAGTAATCAGGCACAACTGTTTTCATCAGCAATTCTGAGACTCTGATTCATCACATCTAAAGTTTTACCAGAATGCTGCTTTACTGCACGTCAATTTACAAAACATAATCTCAAAGTGGAGGGCCTTCACACTCTGCTCTGAGAAATTCACCTAGATTTGTTATACCCATTTCTACAGAACGTTGAGAGGATCATTGGCTGTAACCTGCTCATTATCGCTCCTCATTCGGTGAAGTTTAAACGAAAATGAAGCTGGTAAAATTGCCTGAACTGGTTTGTTTGTCACTCGGATCAGATTGTATGACCATGCCCCCTGCAGAGTTCCACAAACCGGCCCAAGCACATACACCCAAACCCCTTTGTAATAGCCGCTAGCTATTGCAGGACCTATGGTCCTTGCCAGATTCATTGATCCACCTGATACCGGTCTGAAGGTGTCACCAAGCAACTAGTAAGTTTCACATAGGTTCTTATATATATAAAATATGTGTGTGTATTCCAAGTTCCTGGGCACTAGTAAATGGTTGTGCATATCTTGCTAATTGGCTTCGATCATTTGAGTGTAGTGTGTTGTGTGAGGGAACATTTTGTGTGTGTGCACGCGCTCGTGTAGTTTAGCTTTCTACTTACCCAGCCAAGATGGAAGTTATGCATACTGCAGAACCAACTGCTATACCTGCTAGCTCTCCTATCTACATGAAAGAGTAAAGTAAAAAGAATATTATAAATGAGAAAATTGTGTTCAACAAATAATCAATATGTTGTTGACTTTCACAAACAAAATGCAGTGTTGGCAACACCACATTCATCCTGTATGGAGCCCATACTCTACTAGGAAGAACGCAGTGCTGGTAGTAGTGCATTCTGTGTACTTTTTTATGTTTTGTGTGCGTTTTTTATTCTCTCTGTGTTTGCATGATTACTGTAGGTTATAATGATTCTTACTGCTTTGGTATCTGTTGCGACAGCTGAAGCGATGAACATCATAGAAAAAGTTACTACCAACTCCATGATCAGAGCCTGAATATCTGTTCCAGAGGGTGATGTAATGCCTAGATGTTTGATTGGGTGCAACAGTACACGCAGTGTAAATGCAGCAGAAATGGCTCCTGTTAGTTGAGCTGCAGCATAAAATGGAACCTGCAATAAAGCATTCAGGTAAGCTTTTAATTTACTGAAATGAACTCATGGTGAATTAATTCTGGTAAGCATTTAAGTTTTCGATGAATTAATTTCTTCACAATTGGGATCCAGAGTCAAAACTTTAGCACCGTAACTGTTTCGTCTAAGTTTTTATTATGTAGGAGAAAGAACTTTAATATAATAACTAGACAATGCATGCAAGCAATTTTAATTTAATAGCCATCTTTGTAATTTCTTTATTTTAATGTGAAATCATTTAGTTATGTATGAGATTTTTATTTGTATTGTATCACTCTTGCTATTAATGTAGGATAACATGATGCTGTGCATGAGTTAAATGTTGTGTTGTTTTGTTTTTGTTTATTTATTTATTTATTTTTGTTTATGTGGTCTTGCCATAGCACTTTATTAAGTGTTTCATGCAATTATTGTGGTTGGTTCAATTTTGTGGACTGAGTAAATATGATCCAAAAGTGTCCGATCTTCTTTTAGGGTTGGGCTCCACTTGAACCAAATGCATGGTGTGTCATGTGTGGATGTTCCTATCACCAGGTGTGCATGCATTGTCCTAAGTGATATATAAAACGCAAAACAATAATGCTACAGCTAGCTATCGTTTTTTTCTATGTATCATTCTTATCTATTAGCTACATGTTTGAAGTGAATAAGAAACATAATAAAAAAATGCAGTGACTATAGTATTACACTAATAAAATTTTTGACACCACTCTCTACATTTCCTTTTATCTGCAGGAGAGTAATATCTCTAACGAACCTGTTATTGGAGTGGTCATTGTTATAATATAGCAACTTACCCAAAAAGAGTGCTCTAATGGGGCTCACAAATGGCATTTATATTTGATTTTTTGTGAAGAAAATAGAAGAAATAACTAATGCAATTGGAACAATACCAACCAACCAAACTAAATCAAGTTTGAAGTCCCATCCAATGGGTTGGTCACATAAATCTTTTTTCTTTACATAACTCTATCAAAGGTCATTTGTTTAGTCAAATTAAGGAGATTGATATTTCTATTTACTATAGTAGATCACGTTAATCTAGGTTTGCTCTTTTTCCAAACATTTTCCTCTACCGTCACTGTATCGTATCTCTTTACTACTATTTTTGTTGGTTTTCGTTATATATGACCAAACCATCTCAATCTATTCTCTCTCAACTTATGTTCTATCGGTGCTACTCTTATCTATTCACGAATATACTCATTACTAACTTTGTCTTTTTTAGTTTTGCCACACATTCACCTTAACATTCTCATCTCAGCAATACTCATCTTATCTACACATTGTTTTTTTTTTTTTTTATCTACACATTGTTTCTTAGTTGTTCAACATTTCGTTTTATATAACATTGCTGGTCTAATAGCCGTTCTATAAAACTTTCTTTTTAATATAGTGGCTACTCATTTATTGCATAGTATCCGAGACGCACTCTTCCACTTAAGCCACCCATTCTTAATTCTATAGACCACTTCTATTCCAATTTCCCCAACTGTTGTAATAATTAATCCTAAATAACGAAAATGTTCACTCTTAGATAGTTCTTGGTTCTCAATCTTCACTTCTCTTTTGTTTCCATTGTTATTATTTCTAAAGTTACACTCTATGTACTCTATCTTAGTTTTACTTATATTAAATCCTTTAGATTCAAGAATTGGAACAATACCAACCAACCAAACTAAATCAAGTTTGAAGTCCCATCTAATGGGTCGGTCACATAAATCTTTTTTCTTCACATAACTCTATCAAAGGTCATTTGGTTAGTCACATTAAGGAGATTGATATTTCTATTTACTACAGTAGATCACGTTAATCTAGGTCTGCTCTTTTTCCAAACATTTTTCTCTACCGTCATTGTATCATATTTCTTTACTACTATTTCTGTTGGTTTTCGTTATATATGACCAAACCATCTCAATCTATTCTCTTTCAACTTGTTTTCTATCGGTGCTACTCTTATCCATTCACGAATATACTCATTACTAACTTTGTCTTTTCTAGTCTTGCCACACATTCACCTTAACATTCTCATCTCAGCAACACTCATCTTATCTACACATTGTTTCTTAGTTGTCTAACATTTCGTTTTATATAACATTGCTGGTCTAATAGCCGTTCTGTAGAACTTTCTTTTTAATATAGTGGCTACTCGTTTATTGCATAGTATCCGAGACGCACAAATGTTCACTCTTAGATAGTTCTTGGTTCTCAATCTTCACTTCTCTTTTGTTTCCATTGTTATTATTTCTAAAGTTACACTCTATGTACTCTATCTTAGTTTTACTTATATTAAATCTTTTAGATTCAAGTGCTTCTCTCAAACTCTTTAACTTAGTGTTAATTCCTGTTCTGGTCTCATCCACTAATACGATATCATCTGCAAAAAAGATACACTATGGCATATTATCTTGAATATTTCTTGTCAACTTATCCATAACTAAAGCAAAAGATAAAGACTTAAGGTTGATCTTTGGTGTAACTCTACAGTAATTGAAAATTTATTTGTCTCTGTAACCGGCGATCAAATAGTGGTCATTGTACCTTCATACATGTCCTTAATCACATCAATGTAGTTTTTTGTCACTACTTTCTTTTCTAACACTCACCAGATTATATTCCGAGACATATTCTATAATATGTTTTCTTAAGATTGATAAAATCTATATGAATGTCACTTTTCTTCTCTGTATACTTTTCTATTACTCTCTTCAAAAGATAGATCGCTTTCATTGTTGATTTATCGGGTTTGAATCCAAATTGATTTTTTGACACCTCTGTTATATCTCACAATTGTCGTTCCATCACTTTCTCTTACACATTCATTATATAACACACTAACTTGATTTCTCTATAACTGTTGCAATTCTAGACAGTTCTTTTATTCTTATAGATTGACATTAAAATACTCTTCCTCCACTCTGACATTTTCTTAGTCAACAAAATCTTACTAAGTAACCTGGTTAACCAAGTAACCCCTTTCTTACACAAACATTTCCATACTTCAATAGGGATATCATCGGGTCTTAAAAGTCTTATTTAATTTGATCTTCTTAAGTGCCATCTTCACTTCAAAGTTTCTAATCTTTAGGTTTGGCTAATCATTTTGGCAACTCACCATTGGACTTTTGACACATTCATCCTTAACGTGGTATGAGCCACTTCCATGATGAATATGGTGCTTCAACTGGCAGTGCACAAGGCATGGGATTCTTTATTCTTTAATCTTTGTTTCCATGTTTTAATATATATTAATCATTAAATTATGTCTTGGGATTTTCACATAAATAAATAATTGGGAATAAATTTACAGAAGATACTGCACAAGGTATTAATAACTGTGTGTACCTGTTTCCAGGGAAAGTGTCTGACAGCGGCGAAAGCCAGAGTGACGGCAGGGTTCATGTGTGCGCCAGAGATGTGGCCAACTGCGTATATCATAACAGTCACCATGAGACCACCTGCAATAGATGCTCCAAGTTTTGAAACTCTGTGTTCATCATTTGCACTTAGTGCAGCAGACCCACAAGTTACAAACACTAACAGGTAAGTTGCTGTTATCTCTGCAACCAGCTGCCAATTGTTGCCCAAGAAAAAAAAACAAAAAAATAAAAATAAAAAGGTTATTTATATTCGTATGCGATGCATTTTATATCACTGTATTGCTCTCCAAATTCTTATTTCTGGTGAAAGAGACATTGGGCATATGCATGTGTGTTTTTTTTATGAGACTGCCACAAATTTTACAGAAAAGTAAAAGCAACTTTCGAGGATTTTCTCGGGAAAAAATGTTCACACAAATTTCAGAAGTACACAACATTTTTTGCAGGAAAAAAATCAAAACCGTTCCATGCTATGTAGAAGATGCTGCTGCCTTTATTATGGTTTGTCTGCGCAAACATAAGCTAAAGCAAAAGAAATTAACAAAGAATATTATGTTAATTAATTGTTAATATACATACATATACACGTATTAGGCTGCATGCAATTGTGGAAAGATGTTAATGTATATGCATGATATGTAGGGTATTGTCACTTGACAATCATCGTAGAAACTACTATACGAGCCCCTGCCTATTGGGTAGCTAGAGATGACGAGTCTAGATAGGCAAAGTGGTGCTTGAATCATAGTCTTAATCAAGCTCTTGAGATTAATAATGGTAGTGTGGTGTGTCAAGTGTGAAGGATAAATGGATGGGATGTAGTGTACCTTTTTGAGAAACCCTGGTGGATAATGTTCTCCAAATAGTCTCCAAACATGACATAGGTCTGTCTTCGAGGATTTTGGGTTTTCCACATGGATCGACTCATTTGTGTTGGTTTAGTTGTTGAGATTTTGGTGTGTATTCTCCATTTCTTGTATGTAAGGAAAGCCTGCAAATTCTTGAAAGATGGAGAGGGAATAAAACTACAGTAATGGACAAATGCCCAAGTTGTTGGAGCACTTCTGCCTTTTATAACCCCCCCCTCTCTCTCTCTCTCTCTCTCTCTCTAGAGAAACAACTCTGCTATTTGCACAGAAATAACAAGTGCTGCTGAAGAAAATATATGCAATACTCCAATTTGATAATTTTTGGTCTCAACAGTTGGATCTGTGAAGTGAAGTCCCACATCGCCTGAATATTAAAGTAGAATTAAGCATATAAGCGTGAGAGCACCCTCACCTTAGGAGCTAGCTTTTGGGGTGAGTTTTACTCAAAATCTTGTAACCAGAGTACTCAGGGATGTGTAGGGTGCGTGTCCTTGGCCTACACGCCTCAGGTGCTACCGAGTGAGCACGCTAGGCATGAGGGAGGGTGTGAAGCAAAGTCTTAAGTAATATTAAGCATATAAGTGTGAGGGTATTCTCACCCTAAAAGTTAGCTTTTGAGGTAAGTTCTACCCAAGATCGTGTAACAGGATCATCGTTTTTGTGTTTGATATTCTAGAAGATAATATGAAATGTGTCAATTAATAAATAGTGTGAAACTTTAGTTCATGATTACCTAAAGCTACATATAGGAATTTTTAAGGAGAATAATAATAATAATAAAATTTGTGTGTCTTGTTAATGTATATATGGTATATATTCCTAAATATATTATGTATTGATTTATTAGATATATTTGGGAATAGGCATAGTTTGGTTTCTTGTAGGATATTCTTTCTCAGTTTATATATACAGGTCTTTTATTGTATAAGATTAATTCATTGAATACAAAAACAAAAGGAGGCGGCTTAGGAATTGCAGAATAGTAGAGAGAGAGAAGAAATAATATGTACTCTCTCCGTCCCAAAATAATGGTCCTTTTTGGGGAATCTAACTTTTTTTGATAGTATAATTATTGCATTTTAAAAAAATTGATTTTTCAAAATTACCCTTTGATAGTACATTTTTTGAGGAATATCAATGTCAATTGTACTTTTTATGTTAATGAATTTAAAAGAAGGGTAAAATAGAAAATTTATATTATTTCTATACTTGATTTTTGAAAAGGGACTAATATTTTGAGACAATAAAAAATGGAATAAAGGACTAATATTTTGGGACCGAGGGAGTATTGTATTCAATGTATTTTAATCCTATACAATAGAAGGCTTGTATATATAGACTGAGAAAATTATTCTACTAGAAATTTGACTATGAGAAAGAGTTATCTTACAAGAAACCTAGCTATGCCTATTCCCAAATATATCTAGCAAATCAATACCTAATATATTTAGTAACATATACTATACATACATTAACATCTCCCCTCAAACTCAAGTAGTATAAACATCTTCCTTGAGTTTGGAGAGAGAAACTAAAATATGAAATAAAACTAAATAAGATAAAAAGCAAATAGATTGTAAAGTTTGAACGGGAGCGCAAGGGTGCTTGTGATGTATCAGAGGTCAGAGCTAATGTCGAGAGACAGTTTATGGTCGTGTCGGACCGTTGTAGGAATTGGCCAAAACTAATGCCTGGACAGTTTAAAGTCATGTAAGACTATTGTAGGAGCTAATCGGAATCAATGTCGGGACAGTTTAAAGGGGTCATGCCAGACTGATGTAGAGATTGGATGTTGAACTAGCAAGCGTGGCACACAAATAACTTATGACGTGGTGCTGAACGATGATGACAACAGATGACTGAGTGTGCCAGGGGGCGATTTGGATGGTGCGTTAGGGGGCGATTTTTGGTGGTGCGCCAATGCGACGGCTTAGAGGGTGCGCCAAAAGGAGGCGGCTTAGAAAGTGCGTCGAAAGGAGGCAGCTTAGGAAGTGCGCCAAGGAGACGGCTTAGGTAATGCGCCAATGAGACGGCTTAGAGAATGCGCCAAATGAGGCGGCTTAGAGAATGTGTCAAGGAGGCGGCTTAGGTGGTGCGCCACAGGGGGCGGCTTGAGTTGTGCCACAGGGGACGGTTTAGGTGGTTTGCATGATGTATAACCATGTTCACCATGACATAGGTATAATACTCTCCCTAAACTCAAATAGATTTGAATATAAAAACTTATTTGAGGTTGAAGCAAAGGGAAAGACAGAGTGGAGCAGAAGTACAAAAAAAAAAATGATAGAAATATTTGGCGTAGGAATAAACTAGCGGACAAAGAAGATCACCACGAAACGATATTGGTAGGAAAATATAACAGCAGAATAGGTTGATATATTTTGGAATATATATCATATATATATTAACATGTCTGATATTCAAGCTTCTAGTTTTTAAAGTGTGAACAAAATGCAATTTTTAATTAGATTGTGTGCCATTTTCAATGATCAACTTTGGTGTTCAGGTTAGTCTGGTAAGAGTTTAATTTTGTTCAGTCATTTGACGAGTTTTGTGATCACAACATAACTTGTGATTTATTCAAAGCAATGAATGTCCATAATTTTGGGTGAGACCAATACATTTTTTGAATGGAGTGTCTCACTCTTCTGGACCAATGACTTGTCAGTGTGGGCTTTGTTCTGTTTTTGCCAAGTGGGTTTTTTTTTTGACTGATCTGAACTTTGTTCTCTTGGGCTCGGTTGTTGCCATGCTCATCAGATTCAATTTACTTTTTGATAAACTCCAGTGTTGAATACGCAATTCTATTCTTGTGATTGCTTTAAAAGCAAACATGAAGGCTCGAAAATGAAACATTTTCTAACACATTAATTTTAGGAGAGATAAAAGAACTAGGCTATAAAAAAAATAAATATATAGATCAACTTGCATGGAGTTATAGTTTTAATAAGAGGAGATGAAGGACCTTGATTGGTATTCGGGTGTTGGCATGATCATTTTCGCAAACAAGTTGGCTTGCAGCCCATGAATTTCTCACGGTATGTGACAACAATAAGGCCAATTTTGGCAAGTTGTTAAAAAGTTAAAAAGTTAAAAAGTTATCACTATTCACTAAAAGTTAAAAATTACGGCTGCACAATTTCTAATCTTAATTTTTCTCTACATACTAATTTTTACAATTTTTTAATACATATTTTTCTATAAAAAATTAAAAAGTTAACCTAAATATTCGTATTTTTTTTCTCAATTTTTTAGATTAAAAAGATAAAAAGTGCACTTATTTAGGACATCTCAAACAACTCTTAAATATATTTATTTGCCTCACTTATTCTTTAAACATGGATGGTTAGATGTTACAGCTGATGAATAAGTATTTTGATTAAGACCATCAAATTATACTTGGACAATAATCTTATTTGTTCATATTTTAATCTTAATTAATCAGGTCATTGTTTTATTCTTTAATCTCTTGTCTGGATTATTTTGGGTTTTTGTGGTGAACAACAATTTGAATGTTTGTATATGCATATGAGGGACTAATATTTTGAGACAATAAAAGAGTGATAGAGATTTGAAGAAGTGTTTCAAAATTGTTAATAAGAAGGCTCTTTTTGTCTTTCAAGAAAAGTATGGAAAATATTTGATAACTCAAAATTTTGTGGTTTAAATGATTCAAATTTGTCAAAACGACGTCGTTTTACACTCATTTACACTCAAAATGACGTCATTTTAAGTGATTTAAGTCACAAAATTTTGAACTACTTAACATTCTTGAAAAAGTGTATCACTTAAAAAGCAGAGTTTAGAATTTTTCTTTCTCTCTCTTCCATTGTTTATTTGGGTTTGTGAATAATGGAAGTGACGCGTGTAGGATATGTTTTGCTGAGCTCGTGGGTCAGGCAGTGTGTGGGTAGACAGGTCACCTCATGTGGGCCAACTATTCAAATTGTGCTTCCAGCTAGGCCCAAGCCCAACCCACGTCTCATTCGGATTGTCCCGCCCCATCCTATCCCGCTTGGGATACGTAGGCCCGGTAACTCATCAAGCCATGTAATGATGCTTATTCCATAACGTGCTTGGTATTTGCTATTTTTTCACATTTGAAGTTTTTAAAGTAGTCTAAAGGTAGCAAAAGAGGATACAAAATTGTTCCATATCTGAAATGAATTACCAAACATTTTATACAATATTCTTATAGGTATGTGTCTCATGTTCTGTTCCCTGGATCCCATATGTAGAATATTTGATAAACTTTTTAAAATTCCTAACATTGCTAAAGGGGATATTGAGTAAAAATTATTCGGTAAATAGTATTACAAATTAGAGGAATTGCTGAGATCATATATAGTAGCATGTGCACGAACAGGTAAGTTCCAACGTAACTTGAATTAACTTCTTTATAAAGGGATGTCCTTTTCTTGGACACAACACAATAGTAGTTGCCAAATTGAATTGATGATCCAATTTCGGAATGCTATTTATTTCGTGATTATCAGAACCCTGTTGTCACCTTTGGGTTGTTCTGGATACATTTTCCTTTGAACATATCATCTATACTATTATATTAAGTGAAGATTAAATTTGATGTCCAAACCTTTTCTTTATGTCACTTGTTTTTTATTTAAAAAAAAAAATTTATATAGATAGGAGTGAGACTTAAATCTTAGATTTCAAAAAAAAAAAAAAATACTATTCAACTTGCTTGGTTGTGTTTTTTCAAAAATACTTTTCAGAAAATTCTATTTTTTTATTTTTCGTGTTTTTTTGTTTTTATTGAATTTTTTTAATATTTTAAGCAATTTTTTATTTTTTACTTTTTAAACATACCTAAAAAGTAAAAAATTTGTGAAAAAACTTTTTAAAATTCACTAAATATCAAAAATATAAAAAAAAAATAAGAATTCAGTACATTTTTTGTATTTTTATGTATTTATTAAAATTTTAAAATATTTTTTCACAAATTTTTTACTTTTTAAATACATCTAAGTAAGGTGCATTTAAAAAAATAAAAAAAATGTTTAAAATTTTAAAAATATTCATTAAAAAT